GCCCCGGGCGCTGCGGCCTCTGCGCCCCGCAACCGGCCCGGCGCTGCCCTGGGCCGCGAGGTCGCAGGAACGCAGCCCCAGTGGGGGATCACAGGCACCCACCGCTCGCATTCACTCACTACCCGGACACCACGTTTCGTACTTTGGGCCCTCTTGTTTAGTTCTTAGGTGCGGGGAAGGAAGAAAAGCACAAAGGAGAAGCCGTCGTCGCTTTTCCAGATAGGCGAGACTCCGCGGAACGCCGTCTAGTGGCGGAACTGTCCGGGGAAGGCAAACCGGTCTCGTTCCCCCCTCTAATTTTCACTTCTGTTGGAACTTTGAAGCCTCTTTGCATCTGCCAAATAGCAAAGGTGAGACAGGACAATCTCTAGGTGATGGTAAATTTAGTCCCGTAACCTGAGACCGGCCCAGACTAAGCAACAATGTTGAACTGTTTTCCACCTCTTTCCTGGATCTCCTTCCTCTGCAGACAAAGCACAAAAACCGCTCCTCCACGAGGTAAAGGCAGAGCTCTGCGGGCTCCTCGACTAAGACACAGCGACCCCTCCCCCATCTCTGCATTTTACTCCAGGGATAGGGATCCGGCTTGGGCAGCACTGGCACATGGATTCCACTGTAGAAAGGATGGAGCGGTGCCCCAAATACGTCCCAAATCAAGTTTTAAGTTCAGTGGTTAAAAAAAAACTGACCTTTCACAAGTTGGGTCACCCTTCTCCACCCCCGCCCAACAGCCCCCAGACCCCCAAACCATCCACTGAGGAAATGTAGGCCATTCTGTGTTTGCAGATTCGCCACTGGCCTCCCAGGCCTCGTATTTAAAGACCAGAATTTTCGACTTCTGCCGAAAGCTACGGTCAACAGCCGAATTTCACATGCATTTCAGTTACACCCTACTCTTTCTTACTCAAAGCCTCACGCCTTACTTTGTAACATTTAAAGAAATTCTCAACTCCTGATTAGCCTGATAGACCCTCCTTTTTCCTGCTCGAATTATTTCCACCTTCAGAGATCAGCACATGATGAAGTGCATACATCTTCCT